TCGACTCGTTCGTACCAATCGCGAGGAGAGATTGTACAGGGTCGTATGCTAAAGACCTGGGTTGGGAGTTTGGTTAGCAGCGAGCTTCCGCGGGGTTCCGTTGGACTTCAAGCTTACCCAATCTGCGAGTTAATTCCATATCGCGCCTGGTCGTCCGGAGCAAATAGTTCTGGTAGAATACCAGCCGATAAATCGTTCTGGATACCAGCTTGCTTTCCACGCAGGAAGCCAGCCATGTTGATGAGGTGGATTGCAGGTGTTGTGGCGTTGATCTAAAGAGACCCTGGATACGAACTTCGTCATCCCGCTTCTTATCGAGGGGTGATCATGTGACTCTTTATTTTCTTTGATTTCTCGGCATACTTTGACGAATCGTTCTTTGTCCTTGAACTGAATATTACTAAGGTGGATTGTATAGGAAGAGTTCAACAAATGAATCTATAGACATTGAACACTTTTTGGCTACTCAATCTATGAAGAAGTAAATCCGTATCAGCTTCAACCACAGGTCGGGAACGACTTCCTACCTGTTTGGAGGAAGGGTTACTGATTGAGCACTCGATCTGGAGTAGGTATCGAAGACGCCATATCTCACTCATGACTCTCCTGATGGCCTCCTTTTACTTCAATTGAGTTCAAAATATTGCTTCTCTGCCTACTCGCTTGCCAATCATCACTTACACGTTTCCTTTGTTTACTTGCTTTAACATGAGAATATTCGAAGTTTCCAAAATGAGTTCAAAAGGGTGAGCTAAAAAGGACTTCAATGAAATGTAGCATCTTTTCAATGCCTGTTCGGAAGTGAATTTAGCATTGAAGCTGCCAAATACTTGTCAGCACGGTGCAAGTTCACTCGCCATAAGCCAATGCAACGGATAGCGTAACAGGTTTTGAGCATGAAAAGTATGCAATTATCCGCTCTTGTCTCTCGAGCTATCATATTCAAAGTTTGAGCTGTCTCAAATGGGGTGAAGGGTCTATGTATGGATACTTTTTGTGGCGGTCCTTCCATTTGTGGAATTGCCCGTCCTTCCAAACCATTCACTTCCAAGGAAACATACAACTTTTGGTTGAAAAATTAGGTTTCACCCGGTAGCAAAAGATCCTCGCAGGCGCAAAAACGTAAACTGAAGCAAAAATGTGGCTGAGTCGTACCCGGATTGAACGGGTGACCTTCTGGAAACTCAGATAAGATCTGGAATCAGACATGATACCACTACACCAATCTATCAGTTGTAAAGTAAGTAAAAGACCTGGATATGTAGAAAGAAGTCACTTACGACTCTGCATTCCCTACAAAATTTTGCCAGGAATTTCTTACTTGGATAGATGCAGGGGATAAAATTTTGTGAGGGAAGGGGCAGAGGCGGCTAAGCGAGACAAACAACGAGGTGCAAACGGAGCAGGCGAGACTGTCTGAGACTATGGTTCCTTGGATACAGGCCCCTTCTCGCCTTCATTTGAGATACGTCTGGAATGCAGAATCAGAAATACGCCCAGGAGATAATTTCACCTTTTGTAGCTTTCGATTCGCACTACTTAAGACCTGCCTCAATAGGGGAGAATTGGCAACTTGGCGGAAGTCCAATTTGCAGGCCACTGCCCCAAAGACTTCAGAGATCCACAGCTTCGGTTCCGAAAAATATCTAGAGTTATAAATCGGGGGGTTTTTTTTTTTCATTTGAAACTTTTTAGTAGCTTTCCGAGGAATTCTTTCCTTTTGTGGCAGTTCTCACGTGATCTTCGCCGATTAAGCATATCAACATGGCTCAGTCAAACCGCATCACGACAGTCTACACATCTGTAACAATCATATCATCACACATAATATGTTTTAAAAGAACCTGTACATTAAATTGGGATTTAAGACCTACGAAATATGCCAAACAGAACCGTATTCATGTGACAAGGTCATCGCTGCCGAGCGAGGATGGAGACCAGAACTTCTGACTTCAGCATTTCATTATTTAGGGAATACAGTACAGTATCCTCTCCCATTGGTCTTATGATTGAAGTACCTTAATGTCAAGAACAATGTTGAGTCTAACATGGAAAGCGCGGCAGAAAGACAAAGGTCACAAAGAGCCAAATGTTGACCGCAAGCGGAACTCCCACAGCCGACAATTCAACAACGACAACAGTGTACATTCATGTCCCTTTGATGCCTCAGTATCAAAAGGTGAACTTTCATCTCTTCCGAGTCCCATCACTAACTTAAAACATGTCAGGACTTGCTACACAACACCCTTCACCGTAGTTGGTAATTTCGCACCTCTTCTTATGCAGCTACAAGCGTTCCCTCAATTCGGAAAACTCCCGCCAGACATACGCACAATGATCTGGCAAGAAGCATCAAAAATAAGCGGTCCACGACGAATTGTAGTTGTCATTCGCGCTGCAAACCCTAAATACGTCCCACACCCAGCACGGCGAACAGGATCTCGGGGTTTCCGTGCCCTAGCAGGACCACATGCGTATATCCGCTGGACATGGACATGTTATGCTACTACAGGTCGATTGTAAGCCACTGAGATCTTTCTTCTAAAAAGTTCTCTAATCGATGCATAGTGGACCTCCTGGCTTCGTCGGGATGCTCGGTGCAACTCGCGAGTCACGGGGCGAGTACCTGCGCCTTAATCCCCAGTTTCTTCGTTTAGAAAACGGGCCGGTGATTCATTTCGAAGCAGCACGAGATTCCATTTTCATGGATGCAAAATCTCTTTTCGCACTGCATATGTATACAATCGTACCGGATCACCTCATCCCAGTTCCTAAGTGGGTGGCCAATCTCCACGGATTCAACCAGATACAGAACCTGCGAACGAGTCTCCGACACAGCAACATGGCAGGCCTAACACCCGAGAAAGGATTATTTGGTGACCGTGCGGTGCTGGCTGGGGTTAAGTTTCCAATCAGGGAATGGCACCCTTCTCCTATGGCGTTAATGGAGATAGTAAATGATTACCGACCTCTTGGAGTCTGGCATTGGTTGAATGACGAGAAGCAGGCTATGCTAGCATCTCATCGTGCTCCGTCACAGACAATGGTCATTAATCGATATTTTGATCAGGCTGTGCCGGGTATGGGAGGGCTAGGTCTCCAAGACGAGGTCGACAGGTTTTTCAAAGAGCAACAGACGAAGTGCCAGTCATCAGAGCCTGATAGTGAGGAATAAGAGTTAACCCTGAACAGAACGTCTTACTGTCAGTGAGTTTATGACTCTTCCTATCCAAGTTCGGAGTAGCTAGTGGCATAGAATTTCAAAGCATCGGTTTTTGGAGACCCTCTTTATTTCGGTATTCCGCATGAGCCAAGCAAACGTCCGTCAATCAAAATCAGTTACCCTTTGTAATGCTTCTCAACCAAAAGTATATTTCTTGCTATCTGTATGGTTCCACGAACTTGAGTCGCTTGACGAGAGTTTACTTCGAATATAGATTTCTGTCACTGGTCCAATGTTGGCGTCAGTTCAAAGTGGGTCGAGTTTACAAGGAAGCAGAGCTTCGACTCGAACAGAAGCATCGAATCTTGGAAACTCCAGGTCTAGTATGGGACAGCTCCGCGGGCGGCGTTGAACAACGACGAAGGAGAGCCAGAAGTCAGTGGCATTGAGTTATCAGCCCGTGTAAGTCGTTGCACGATGCGGTGTTCATGATGAAATCTACTTTTGGTACTTCCCGGGAGTTCGAGGATGTGGCGGAGCCTTGGCAACAATGGCAAAGCATGATGAGTTCTATGGCGTAGAGCAAATACTATTATGATCTTGAAAGACTCCAGTCACCTTTGCGTCTGCAGAGATATGATTGACTCTGTACAGTGGGAAAGTTCTCACTGGAATAGCTCCAAGCACTAGCTATAGCTTGCCAAAAGTTTTGCGGAATCGTCTGTTGAGATTTACGATTCATAGTAATATGCTATATCTGAGCCATCTCTTGATTATCAATGCAATGGAATGTTGATCCGTGCAATTTGTATGGCGGTAAGGGAAGATATTTGCAATTTCATGTAACATTCTCGTAACATTTTGAGGACTTGAAGTATTGCCATCCAGCAGGTAGAGGGAATTGGATTCCTACGGCTGCCACCGTTAGTGAAATCCCCGTATTTACTGACATAGACATGTCGTCAAAAGTATTTGGGACATAGTGGACCAGACTTGATTTGGATCTACGCTGCGCATTGGCACACATACTCCCGGAAAATTGGGAAGCGCGTTCTTGGAACTGAACGTACTGTAGCACTACTAGATAAATTATTCCGTGCAATTCACAGAAGCATTTGTAGCTAATTAAAAAAGACTCTGCAACGTGCAAGTAATAGTAGTTACGCCTTCTTCGCTCGGGACACGCTTATAATCAGGAGAGCAAGTGTTGTGGCGCTCTTGCATTATAAAGACAGCTATCACGAGTAACAACGGCCTCTCATACCGCGAGGAAGTAAGTAAAGACATCAAAGGTCTCTTAGAGTTAGAATCTTCACACCGGGGGAAAAGAAAGCATGGAAGGGAAGAGGCAATATTAGCGCGAGAGCTGGAGGTCATCTCGCTTCAGCTCGCTTAGGCGGATACCCGGAATTTTCGGGAAAATGGAGTATCAACCCACTATCCAGCCACCCTAACCACGCATAGGCTCTACCGTCACAGTGAAAGCCCATTAAACTGCGCATTATTTGCGCACTCAGTGCTACGGACACCTATCGTCTCTTGGTCTGCATAGCCTATCAAAGAACAAGCATTTTCATAACCACACCACGTAATCCCAAATGTTCGCGCGAAAAGGAATGCATTGCGTCGCACTATATAAGGATCAAAAGTTTTATGCATATTGAGATGCCCTTGACATAGATTCCAGAGACTGTTGTCATATTCAGATGCACTAGTAGACCGAGCAGCTCGCCTCCAAGCTCTGCTAAAAATTACATCCGAGAAGGCACGCCCCAAAATTGCAGCTTCTACACTGAATATCGAAGGATGAAAAAAAGAAGGAAAAAAAACATTTCAGCGACACCTGAGTGATTCGAACACTCGCTCCCGAAGGAAATGGCTGTCTTCTCCTTAAAGATAGCAGGCCATCGCGTTAACCACTCCGCCAAAGTGCCAGCTTCGTATTGGATGTTGGAATATTTGCTTATTTCGCATAATATTACGTTTTGAAATCGGTCTTGTGGATCCTTAACGACCAGCCACTTTTCTTAGCGAGTCCAAGGCTTACCCCCCCCCTCCAACCTGAAAAGTGCTGATTTAGACTGGATGTTTGAAGCTTGAGGTCTGTTTCTGTGTACTTGGTGAAGTATTTATATATTCAGATAGTCTTTGTCCAAATGGTCTTTGTCCCGAGGTTACACATTTCGAGGCTCTTGTCCTTTCCTTTGCCAAATGCAAACCACCTTCAGCAACACGACACTGACCGGGTCTCTTGGTAGCGGGTGAAGATGGATGTTGCACTGTATCGCAACCACGCGGGTTGGTGGCAGAAACGTATTACAACCGCCCTGGTGATATGAATCGATCAAACGGAAAAGGATTCAATAGCTTACATATATATACAAATAGCTCGATGATCAGTCAAATAAAAGAGTTGAACCTCAGAAGTGTGTCTTGCGTGATGAATTTGGCCTGTGACTTTACTGCAGCGGCGTCTCCGCACTCCTGGAACCGGCCTCACGAGCACTTGCGACATCCTTTGTCGGGAGCTAATAGGACATCAAGAACTTATTCATTGACAAGTTCTCGATTCCTGTATCATTCGAGAATTTAATCGAAAAGCTTAACCTCTCCGAGCGGATTTTAGTACGTCTTTCAGAACAGAAACGAAGAAAAGTTCACGAGAACGGAGATCATCAGTCAATACAGAATTGACCAATTATTTTCCATTGAGAATTCAAGACGGTCGATGATCTCAGCTTATTTTGTGACTTTGTCACTGAAATTATACAGTATCGGAAGTATACAGTATCGACAATGTACTTTCTGACATTCACCATAGTTTTCATATCCCTCTTCTCTACCGCAAGCAATTAATTGACTGCCCTCGATATCAAATAATTCCCCACATCGTCCGCTCGAATTGACTTTTCGTGCCTGGCTGCCTGGCCAAGCTGACGCCCTCTGTAGTCCCTGAAACGAAGCCTGTAGTGCGCCTGAAGCGAGATGTCAACCCTGACAGTAGCCGAACTGTAAACTTACTGACCCATACTTCAACCTATTCCATCTCCTCTTCTCCTTTCCCCCCTCTATAATGTACCAAGCACCTCCTCGTGTATCAAATCTCATTCTCTCCCTATTTTTTTTTTTTTCTTCTTTTTTTTGGTAGCATAAGCTCAAATCCCTCGGTAAGTACGATTTCCACCAGCACTGGCCGATAAATATCGCTGAAGGTGAAAGAAAGGTGACACCGACAATTATTGGTGATAATCCTGAGCTTCTGAGCCCGGCGCAGGAGGTGGATATTACTTTCTGAAGAAAGTCTAAGCTCACGAGCCGAGCGCGATAAGAAATGCGAGCTATCGATAGAGGGGCTTCGCGTGCTAATTTGACGGGCATGTAATGTCAACTGCTGTACTAACCAGTACTCGATTGCCCCCCTAGCGCTGGCCCACGATCTTCGTTTACATTCAAGGTACCGATACGAAGGAAGGTCGGAATTTAAGAGTAATGGACACAAATTACAAGCACACGTCTCAAGAAACTGTAAAACATCGCAGTGGAGAGCGAACGCTTGATGGCAAATATCTATCTACACATTCCCCGACCTCCCCACACTCTCCCTCCTCCTCTTCTTCACCAACCTCTCCCACCACGTCCTCCCCCTCCCACTCCCGCTCTCCCTCTCCCTCTGCCCCGACCCCGACTTCTCCAACCTCCCCATCGGCGCCATCGGTGAGATCGGCGACATGACATGCGTGACCGTCTTCGGCGGCCCGGAATTCTCGCTCAGGTCTCCACTGTTGATTTCCTCGCTCGAGACCTCGATCTGCGGTGGCGTGTTGGAGGTGCTGCCTTGCTCTCTCTGGTCTTTCTGGTCTTTGATGTTGAAGCTGTTGAGGGAGGTGGTTGAGCGGCGTATCCTGTCATGAATTTGAGCTTTGCGGATGTTGATTGCCTGGGCCGCTTCGGTGGCTGAGAAGGTGCGCTTTTTGCGGAAATCGCCTGTTTTGTCATGAGTTAGCATGATTACTATAAGCAAGGTATGGATGATTCTTGAGATTGGGCTTACCAGGATTGTTCCCAATATCTGGTTTGGAGGTGTCTTCCAAAAGGAGTTCTGGATTGCGGAATATCCAAGCCAGCAAAATGTGATATTTGGAACGCCAAAATTCCATGCCGGAGGTCGTGTTGAGTGAGCCGATGAGAAGGAAGAATGGGACACAGACGGCGACCATGGTTATTGTGAAGTCTTTGAAGCCCTCGGATGGCATATTTGACATTCCGAAGACGGAAGTGACGAACGTGAGAGGGAGGAAGAAGATAGAGACCTATTCTGGATCAGAATTTTGAATCGGTTTGGTACGAGATAGGACTTACGAGTGTGAGGAGCTTAATGTTGTGGCCTTGGAGGATAGTCACGCCTGACAACTCAACACTCTTCCTACTTTCAAGAACTGACGTCCCTGAGAAAAGCTGATCTCGTAAAGTTCTGATTTCCTTCCTTCGATCATCGTTCTCTTCGAATAGTTTGCACATGTTCTTGATTTCCCTTTCAAATTCTATTTTGAGATTTCCCATTTTCTTTAGGTAGTAGGTGTTTCGATGCGAAGCCTGATCAATCATCGGCCACATGCTCTTGTGCTTTCCTTCCCAAACGTCGTCCGTGAACGTATCTTCATAGGCATCCATGATGGCTTTGATGCTGTCGTTCATCAATCCTAGGGTTTGGAAAGCCCAGAAATATCGTCTGGAATATGTGAAATCTGCGTCCTCGAATAGCAGCTTGTCTCTCAAATCTCCGTTGAACATAAAATCCGCCTGTCAAGTTAGCCTCATACTTAGACTCAATTGGGCCATGCTCATTTTGTCTCTTGGGTTTGGGGATTGTTCGTCACGTAGTGGTCGGACGCGCTTACTGGTGGTATGACAAGATTGATTATCTTCTTCTGGATATCCCGAAATCGCTTTTGGGCATCCCGAAATTCGGCAAGCAGTGTGTGGAGGAAAGCTTCGGGACCGTTCACATAGTGTTTTGTGGAATCATGACTGTCCATACTGTGTTTGTGGTCCGGGTAACATTGAATATTCAAAACCTGCCATGGAGCCCATGGATCGTACACAAATCCATATTGGGTCTTGGCTTTGCGAGCTGGATTTCTCAATTTCCTGATAGGATTTCCTCCTAGTGACAAAGCAACGACGGAACTACACCGAGATATTGGAATATGTCCTTCGCCTTTTCTCTTTATTTTCTCAGGTGAATCCGATCGCTGCCATGGCATCGGTTGTACCTCGTCGCCAACAATTGTGAAGTAGTCGAATTCGAATACAAAGGTCCGCTGTCGACGGTGATCGGGTGAAAAGACTCGGCCCTGAATATGCGCCTGCAATTGTCAGTCCAAAACTGCAGAAATTGCGCGTGGCAAATACAGTTGTTTTGTTTTCTTCCACCAGGTATCTGAAAAGCTCATCCACATCAAAATCCTTATTGTTGGTGAGATGTAAAGCGCCGAGCATAATCGGAGAAGGCTCCCGCACAATCGTAATTCGACCCACGGCAGGTCTTTGGGAATCCGGGTTCGCATTCAAGTCCTACTCTCGATCAGCCCAGACTCCTCCTGTGCATAAATGTTCCTACTTGAATAGCCTGCCATACAGCAGAGTCAATTGAGGTCGTTCCATCTTTTACAACCTCTCGCCGTGACAGTGGAGCTCCGTCTGTCGAAACGTCAAAAACCGAATAGTGCGAAAGATGCCATCTCTCGTCCTCGGGATACTCTGGAAAGAGTGAGGGGTAAAGCAGCCGCTTGTTGTGAACCACAGTATCTAGCAGAGTATCTCCATAGTCCGTGAAAGTATATGTCTTCAGATGAGTCCGCAGATCCTCGTAGTCGTACCTATAGGACGGTAGCGATGTTTGGACGTAGAGTTCGTCATCATTGTCACTGTCGTCGCTGTCTCCAGTCAACAGACTGCTATGAATCGTCACAGGCCTTTCCCCATCGAGCTCTGTAAATGATCGTCTGTGTCGTTTCGTGACTGCGACTGAGAGGCTGGGCGAAGTAGGTGTTTGTGCTGTGGATGGGAATGGGGAGGCTGGTCTGGGGAAAGTCGATGCTCGAGTTAGCATCACAGTGGACGGTGATGCATGGGAAATTGCCGTCTCGTGCGACGACGGTTCTGGGGAAGTAAGGATCTGGTGTTGTCCAGCTGCTGCTGTCTTGGCCAGAGCCTCGTGAACCTGTCGAAAAGTGGTGAGGTAGGCTTGATGCTGCTCATCAAGCCTCTTGAGCAACTCCTCTGTGGTTAGCACACCCGTCATGTTTGCTTGTGTCAGGGCGCACAAGAACACAAGACGGTACGGTATGACAACGGAGAGAATCCATGAAGAAGATTGCAAATCAAGTAAAGGAAGAGTGGGCAAAGAACGGAAATTCAATGGATGTGGTGTTCAGGCTTGGCCGAGCCTCAAGGCTTGCTCTGTACCAAGCAGTTCCGCCCATTCTGCAAGAGCTTGCAGTGTGACCTACCCTGCGTAGTTTGCGGTGCATGCACTGTCAATCACCTTGCGTGCTCAACCTACGGTCACTGGTTGATGTGCTTCCGCCCTGGCTCTGTTGGTGTCATGCATGCATGGAGATGTGATGTTCCTCTTTACGCCTCATCTTGGCCCGAAGTCCCTCCAGCGGCTGCCTGCCTGGTCGGGCCATAGCGGATAGAAAGGCCCCCAAACCTCGGGCACCAAGTACCAAGCACCAGGCCTTTCTCCAGACCTGTCAGAGCCTCTTGGCCATTATCTGGGGTGGAGGACGTGTCGTCGTGTTGTTGGTCAATGGGCCTTTTGATTCAAGTCGGTGAGGAACGGATGATATGAAGCTGACGCCAAGTTCTGCCCTGCAGCTCCACCACCGCCCATTCTTGAAACACGATACACGTGACCGGCATGGGACAC